ATGAGTTCGAGTTCGAGATTTATTTTGTTGACTCGTTAGATCGAAAACCGCTTTTGGGGGAGGCACAATTTTTGTTGAAAATCCGAAACCCCCGGTTTTAGCGGTACGCATTTTATTTATCAGCATTGCTTGACCTAAAATACAATTTTGTTAGTGTTGTATATGCATCAGCATCAGCATCAGCATCATGAGTCTTTGCAGATATCACAAACAGATTCAATGGGTGATAATTACAATATTTTTCATTCACATCGGGTCGCAAGATCGTAGTTTGTTTGGTAAATGTCCACGACCAGCTAATGATGAATCCACAACAACAACAACAGCAACAACAAAACTACCAGCATCGAAACCATCTACTGGTAGTAGTAGTAGTAGCAGTACTGGTACTACTTCTAATCTCAGGTCATCGCCGTCACCATCCCAATCATCATCATCAACAACAACAACAACAACAAGCAGAAGTAGTAGTGAGGCGACCCAATCATCATCACCCACCACCACCACCACCACCATGACCACCAATTTGCCCATTCTGCTGCAAAAGAGTCGGAAAATGCAAGACTATTTGGAGCTGCATCGAAGCAGCTTATTGGAATTGGACGCTGGTCATGAGCATCGTCGCATTGTCATCAAAGAGCAGGGAACTACTCCGCTCCTTATTTACAGCAATCCAGGGGGAGGCATTGGGGATCGCGTCAAGGGAATTTTAGGAGCCTTTTTGTTTGCCCTATCCACAAATCGCGTACTCTTGATTGACTATCACGAGCCTGCCCATTTGCATCAAGTGTTGATTCCGGCGGGGCCCATTCTATGGAACGCTTCCTTTTTGGAAGCAGAACAAGGAGGAGGAGAAGACGAGGATAATAGTAAGCAAATGCTCATTCTGGACAATCAAGAAGCTCATGAAGTGAATCAAGATCCAGGTTTACTGGCGTACAAGAATCCCAAATCCAATTCAAATTCCAACACTACTGCTACGACTCCTCTATTATACAACCGTTTGATCCTGCGGCTCTCTACGAATTCATGGGGAAACTTTTCTTCTTCCAGTCTGCTGGGAGATTTATTGGAACCCTATGGCAATGTCTTTTCCCTCGAAGCTCAGCACGATTTATTTT